GTACCCCCTATTTGCTGGTCTCTGATAGGAGTCCAAGATGGCGGATCCATGCTGCATTAGCTGATAGGGACCTCTTGTATGTCTCCTCTCTCTCAGTTCTCTGTCAGTTTCTTATTCCATTTGGTGCTTTGCTGAGTTCTTTAGCTCTTCATTTGATGTTTAGGATTTCAGGATTGCTGTTTGGCTTAGTTTTCTGGATCTTTTCTGTGGAGGGATGGCGTGGTGCTTCTGCCTAAGGGCCGTGTTGCCAGAAGTCCCTAAGAGAGGATCTTTTAAAAGCTCCCCTGCTCATTGCAATGGCCAGTACTGATGACCCCAGCATCTATAATACTGACATTTTAGGCCATAATCATGGGAAGTCTACACCCAAAATTCCAGATGAGCTCAATGCAACCTCCCCTACTTTGTAATAAATCAGTTCATCTATTTTGGCCATAATGAAAATCGGCCTCTGCTTCAATACAATCATCAATAAAGCATCCCACACCCACCCTTCTTTTGGAGACTCGTGACTAGAAAATAAGTGTAATAGAAGCACAGTGTTTTCAGTCTAGTAGGGACCGTACAAACTACTTACCAGTTGCCATCATGTCGATTCTGACTCATGGTGACTCCTTGTGTGTCAGAGTAGAACAGTGATTCATAGGGTTTTCAATGGCTGATTTTTCAGAAGTAGATCACTAGATCTTTCTTCCAAGGTGCCTCTGGGTAGACTCAAACCTCCAGGCTTTCAGCTAGTTACTAAGTGCCTTAACTGATTGCACAACCCAAGGACTCCCACAAATCACTTAGTCCAGCCAGAGTAGAGGTGCCTGAAGTTACTCCACAATGAGGGGCAGGACTTAGTGGGAGAAGGACAGTGGTTCTCACCCTGGGGCTATTTAGCCCCTCAGGGGATATTTGGCAATGTCTGAAGATATTTGTGGTTCACAACTGGGGTGAGCTTGGGGATGCTACTTGTTTCTAGTGGGTAGAGATCAGGGATGCTGCTAAACATCCTACCATGCACAGAACAGCCCCCACAAAAAAGAATTATCTGGCCCTGAACGTCAATAGTGGTATTCTCAAGGTTGAGAAACCCTGGCTTAAGATAAAGAAACACTTAGTCATAGAGGAAATGAACTCTCCACCCCACTCCCCGGAGGGAGGAGGGAATTACACCAGATTCAGGAAGAAGCCCCAGAGAGGCAAGAGGAAACTAGCTAACGGACTTGAAAAACAAGTTGGGGCAGAGTAAGACCAACGGGACCTGGGGAAATTCTGAAGAAACCAGCCCTATCTTGGAGGTAAGACTGGAATGTCCTGGCCAATGGTAACTTAACAGACATTGGATCTGTAACCTGATTTCTGTTCCTAAGTGACCATGAATTCAGAAGCTTTTCTGATGGGGAGCTCTAGCATCGAGTCCTAGCATGATGCCTGCAGTGGTGGTAAGTAGCAGCCTTGTGTTTTGTTGCTGTAGCTATTTTTGAGGTTTTAAATATGATTTAGGAAATAATATTGGAGTTATTATTCCCTCTCCTTGAGCATACAGAATGTGACCCAGCTGGAGCTAGGCTCACAAGGACTCACAAAGACACATCAACTGGGCCCTGAGGTATAAAGACAATAGCTAAGATAATCTTGGAAAATATCTTTTAGGGAAACTTTCACATAAAACCGATCAAAGAGAACACAGAAGACTTTCCACTGTTACCTTTTTCTATTAGCATTTATTGATATAAATTTTTATTTTTTTTAATTTTATTTTTATTGTACTTCAGGTGAAGGCTTACAGAACAAATAGTTTCTCATGAAACAGAAGTACGCATGTTGTTTTATGACATTGGTTAACAATCCCACAACATATTAACCCTCTAACTTCTCAACCTTTTTTTTTCTTGAAAATACACGTAGCCAAAGATACACCGTTTCAAAAATTTCTACATGCACAGTTCAGTGACATTGACTACGCTCTTCAAATTGTACTGTTAGTCTCACTTAAGATGAAGGCTTACAGAACAAAATAGTTTCTCATTTAACAGTTACTACAAATGTTGCCCTATGACAATGTTAACAATCTCACAACACATCAACAAAATCCTTACTCAACCTTGGGTTCCCCATCACCAGCTTCCCTGTCCCCTTCTGCCTTCTGGCACTTGTCACTGGACTCTTGTACCTCGTTAGTCTCGTTTGGTTTTACGGGGCTGTCCACTCTCAGGCTGAACAGTGAACCTCGGAGGTAGCTTCACCACTGAGCTAAAAGGGTGTCTGGGGGCCATACTCTCGGGGTTTCTGCAGTCTCCTTTAGGCCAGTAAATCTGGTCTTTTTTTGTGGGTTAGAATTATGCTGTACATCCTTCTCCAGCTCTGTCCAGAACTAGACAGATCCTGATCCTGGTCAGAGCAGTCAGTGGTGGTAGCCGGGCACCATCTAGCTGCACTGGACTCAGTCTGGTGGAGGCCTTGGCAGCTGTGGACAATTAGTCCTTCGGACTAAATCTTTTCCTTGTATCCTGTTCCCTTCATTCTTCCTTGCTCCCAAAGGGATGAGACCAGTGGAGTATCTTAGATGGCC